TGATTGACAGAGGCATTGATTGGTGTGTTATTCCCCAAAGCTATTGTTAATGGCTTTATGTTGAATTGAAATAGCGTAATATGTTTGATTGGTAGAGAGACACAGTGACGTTTTGAGACAATAAAAGAACTGTTTACGCTCTGAACTGTGATTTTAGAAAGTAAGTCCAATCAATCTGATTGGCAGAGACACTTCATTAATTTGTTGTCTTCAAATTTAAATGCAGTAGTTGTATCCTAATTTTGGTCTTTAAAGGACACAGTAAGTCCAATCTTTAATGGTTCGCCTGGATGCTACATATCACCACTGCATTTTCCAGTCTTTATTTTTACATTAAAAAAGTAAGTCCATCTACAATGATTGGCATGCACATTGATGATACTATATCACCCCCTTCCAGTGATCTCACAGCTTCATCTTCAAAGTTTAATTATGATTTGCAACAGTCAGCAGGAAATATTCTATTTGTAACCATCACATGTTATTTGTGTAACCCCGTTTGGGATTAAATATGACGTGTAAAATGATCAGTGAGGATTCTTAAATGTTGTCTCTGCATCACAAATCATGTGTACAGCCCAGCCGTAAAAGTGTCAAGTCCAATCTGCCATGATGGACTTATATTTGTGACATCATTTCTTTTTCATAGTAATTTTTCAAGTTGGTTTTTTGATTTTTAAAGTATAGTAAGTCCAATCTGAAATGGTTGGCAGGGACAATGACTTTATATGCTGTATCCAAAAGTAAATTTCTAGCCATTTCTTCAGTTGGGTGCCTCCCCTTGGGACAATGACTTTATATGCTGTATCCAAAGTAAATTTATAGCCATTTCTTCTGTTGGGTGCCTCCCCTTGGAAAAACAGTACATCTGATCCGTAGAGATTGGAAGGAATTTATTGTGTGTTGTTTTAGCATCACATGTTGCATGAGACAATTAAGTCCAATCTGCAATGGTTGACAGGGACACTGACTTTATATGCGTATTTCTTCAGTTGGGTGCCACCCCTTAGATTTTAAAACAGTAAGTCCGATCCATAGAAATCGGCAGGAATTTAATGTATGTTGTATGAACCGCTTATGTTGTATTAACAAATAAGTCCAGCAATCTACAATGGTTGTAAGGGACACTGACTTTATTTTGTTTACAAGAGCAATTTTTTGCCCCCTAACTGGTGATCATAATTTAAAGACTAAAGTGCAATCTGTAATGATCACTAAGGACATGTGATTGTATGAAATTATGTTATTTATTTCCATTGAAAAGAGTAAAGCTGATCTAAATGCCTTTTCATTATGCTGCCATGGCAGGTTATGTTGCATTATGTACCAAATTATCATCGGCAGGGCACTGCGCCTTCTGTTGTATTTTAAAATGCAGTAAGTCCAATCTATAAAGTTTGGCAGGAATTTTTCTCAATCTTTGTCACCTTTTCATCATTTTGTTGGAATGTTTTTCAACGAAAGTAAGCCTGATCTGCGATGATTGACAGAGGCATTGATTGGTGTGTTATTCCCCAAAGCTATTGTTAATGGCTTTATGTTGAATTGAAATAGCGTAATATGTTTGATTGGTAGAGAGACACAGTGGTTTTGAGACAGTAAAAGAACTGTTTACGCTCTGAACTGTGATTTTAGAAAGTAAGTCCAATCAATCTGATTGGCAGAGACACTTTATTAATTTGTTGTTTTCAAATTTAAATGCAGTAGTTGGAACCTCATTTTGGTCTTTAAAGGACACAGTAAGTCCGATCTTTAATGGTTCGCCTGGATGCTACATATCACCACTGCATTTTCCAGTGTTTAGTTTTACATTAAAATAGTAAGTCCAATCTACAATGATTGGCATGCACATTGATGATACTATGTCACCCCCTTCCAGTGATCTCACAGCTTCATCTTCAAAATTTAATTCCGATTTGCAACAGTCAGCAGGAATTCTTTTATTTGTAACCATCACATGTTATTTGTGTTACCCCGTTTGGGATTAAATATGACGTGTAAAATGATCAGTGAGGATTCTTAAATGTTGTCTCTGCATCACTAATCATGTGTACAGCCCAGCCGTAAAAGTGTTAAGTCCAATCTGCCATGATGGACGTATATTTGTGACATCATTTCTTTTTCATAGTAATTTCCCAAGTTGCTTGTTTATTTTTAAAGTATAGTAAGTCCAATCTGAAATGGTTGGCAGGGACAATGACTTTTTAGGCTGTATCCAAAGTAAATTTATAGCCATTTCTTCTGTTGGGTGCCTCCCCTTGACTTTATATGCGCAGTACAGTTGGGTGCCACCCCTTAGATTTAAAACAGTAAGTCCGATCCAATGAAATCGGCAGGAATTTATTGTATGTTGTATGAACCGCTTATGTTGTATTAACAAATAAGTCCAGCGATCTACAATGGTTGTAAGGGACACTGACTTTATTTTGTTTACAAGAGTAATTTTTTGCCCCCCCAACTTTTGATCATAATTTAAAGACTAAAGTGCAATCTGTAATGATCACTAAGGACATGTGATTGTATGAAATTATGTTATTTATTTCCATTGAAAAGAGTAAAGCTGATCTAAATGCCTTTTCATTATGCTGCCATGGCAGGTTATGTTGCATTATGTACCAAATTATCATCGGCAGGGCACTGCGCCTTCTGTTGTATTTTAAAATGCAGTAAGTCCAATCTATAAAGTTTGGCAGGAATTTTTCTCAATCTTTGTCACCTTTTCATCATTTTGTTGGAATGTTTTTCAATGAAAGTAAGCCTGATCTGCAATGATTGATTGGTGTGTTATTCCCCAAAGCTATTGTTAATGGCTTTATGTTGAATTGAAATAGCGTAAAATGTTTGATTGGTGGAGAGACACAGTGACGTTTTGAGACAATAAAAGAACTGTTTACGCTCTGAACTGTGATTTTAGAAAGTAAGTCCAATCAATCTGATTGGCAGAGACACCTCATTATTATGTTGTCTTCAAATATAAATGCAGTAGTAGTAACATTATTTTGGATTTTAAAGACACAGTAAATTCGACCTTTAATGGTTTGCCTGGATGCTTTACATCAAAACTGAACTTTCCAGCCTTATTTTGGTTTTTAAAAAGTAATCGTGATCTGCAGTGATTGGTGTGCACATATGTTCTGTACCCCCTGTTTCCTCACAGCTTAGTCTTCAATACTTGATTCCAATTTGCAACAGTAAGCAGGAAATATTCTGTTTGTAACCATCACATGTTATTTGTGTAATCATGTTTTGGATTAAGTATGACGTGTAAAATGATCAGTTGGGTTTCTTTGAAATGTTGTCTCTGCATCACAAATCATGTGTACAGCTCTAATCTGCCAGGATTAGCTTATATTTGTGACATCATTTCTTTTTCAGAGTAATTTCCCAAGTTGGTCTTTGATATTTTATGTAGTAAGTCCAATCTGAAATGGTTGGCAGGGACACTGGACACTGACTTTATATGCTGTATTAACTTTGTAGCCTTATCTTGAGTTAGGAAAACCTGTTAATCAATCTGCATTGGTTAACAGAAACACTGTGCCTCCCTTTGGATTTTAAAAACAGTAAGTCCGCTCTTTAGAGATTGGCAAAAATTTGTTGTGCATTGTATTAAAATCATGTGCTGTATAAATAAGTCCAATCTGCAACTATTGGCAGGGACGGTGCCTTCATTTTGCTTTGAAAAGTACGTTCTTGCACCCACAACCCTTGATCATAATTTAAATCATGAAGGCTGATGTGTTGTGATCACTAGGGACATTATTTATTTCCACTAAAAGGAGTATGTTTGATCTGAATTCTTTTTTTATTATGCCGCCATGGCAGGTTTTTTGGCATTCATCTTCAGGGACACTGTGGAATTCTTCTATTTGTAACCATCACATATTATTTGTGTTACCATGTTTTGGATTAAGTATGATGTGTACAGTGATCAATGAGGATTCTTTCAAATGTTGTCTCTGCATCATGAGTAATTTTTACAGCATAGCCTAGCTGTTTGTGACATCATTTCTTTTCCAGAGTAATTTCCCAAGTTGTTCTTGATTTGTAAAGTAGTAAGTCCAATCTGAAATGGTTGGCAGAAACACTGACTTTAAATGCTTTATCCAAAAGTGATGTTATAGCCTTTTCTTGAGTTGGGGGCCTCTCTTGGATTTTAAAATACAAAATTCAGTCGACAGGAATTCATTGTGTGCTGCTTTAACATTACATGTTGCATGAAACAATTAAGTCCAATCTGCAATGGTTGGCAGGGACGCTGACTTTATTTTTTTGCACGCTTAACCATTGACCACAATGTAAAGCACAGTGCAATCCGTAAGTCCGATCAATCTGATTGGCAGAAGCACTTCATTTTAATGTTGTTTTCGAATTTACATGCATAGTAGAAAACTAATTTTTGTACTTTAAGGACACAGTAAGTCCAAATTTTTATGGTTGGCACGGATGCATCATATCACCACTGCATTTTCCAGCCTTATTTTGCATTGCCCTTTGGTGATGTTACATGTAAGTTGACCTCCACTCCCAGTTATCTCACAACCTCATCTTAAAAACTTGATTCCGATGTGCAAAAGTTGACAGCAATTCTTATATTCTTGTAACCATTACATGTTATTTGGGTAACCATGTTTTGGATTAAATCTGATCTGTAGAATGATCCATGGGCATCACAGATCATCTGTAATCTTAAAAGTGTAAGTCCAATCTGCCATGATTGGCATGCACATTTGTGACATCATTTATTTTTCAGAGTAATTTCCTAATTTGTTCTTTTATTTTTAATGTACATGTAGTAAGTCCAATCTGAAATGGTTGGCATGGTATGCTGTATCCAAAATTAGTTTTATAGTCTCGTCTTGAATTGGGAAAAGCAATTCAGATCTATCTGATCAACAGGACACTGACACTATTTTTAAGGCATTTTGCCATCCTTTTATAATCTGTAGTGATTTGCAAAGACACAGTGATATTATAATTACCCTCCAAAGGAATATCTACACCACATCTTGGCTTGTAATTAAAACAGTAAATCTGAACTGCAATGACCGGCAAAGATGTTACTTATTATGTCATTCCCAAAAATAATTGTTACAGCCTGATTTCTAATGGGAAAAATGATCTGCAGAAGCATTGTGATCTATAATCTATGGTTTAAAAATGATTTTGATCCATGTGGTCAGCAGAGACAATTTGACACTGTGCTGCTTTCAAGATCAAACTAATTCTCCAACCTCATTTTGGATTATTATTGAAACAGTAAGTACAATGGGATCGGCAGAGACATTGTGCATTATATCACAATTTTATCATTAGCCTTAGTTTGTATGAAAGAAGTATGTCTGATCGTCATTGGCCCAGTGATCGGCATGCATTCTTGTGAGTTCAAGCCCCGTCATCTACTAGTCTCACCTTAAAATTTGATTCCAATTTTTCCAGTAGTCGGCAGGGAATGTTCTATTTCAGTTGTGTAACTATCCCACAAAATTTGTAAAGCCTTTTTTCCTTAAAATGTAATTCTAACCTGTAATAATCTGCAGGAATTCTTTATTCATTGTCTTCATAGTGAGCCATCTGTATAGCCTCATTTTCTTGTCCAATCTCTCAAGATTAGCATTCGTATTTGTGACATTTTGTCACTGAAGTAACTTTCAAGTTCAGTCTGAAATGATCAGCAGGGTAATTTAACACCACGCCTACTATGGATGCATTGGAATGCATGTGAATAATTTAAAGTATAACCTAGCTAGGCTAGGCCAAGGGTTTTGTATTACAGGTTCACTACACCAGGAATCTGAAGTTTTTGTCAACAAGAAGGATGACCTGAGAAAGAAGACTGACTGCTACCTTATCAAAGATGAAACCAAGGAACTGAAAGCAGGGAGGAGGACCAATGGATGACTGATGACTCTGCTTGCTGAGCATGCCCATACTCACTTTTGAGGTGAGTTCCTGGATAAAAATAGTTAATTTGAGACTGCCATTGAGTCTTTGATGAAAATGATATCTATACAGAGTCCTTGTACGGAATAGCCTCACCACACAATTGTATATATACAAACAGATGGAGATACACTTTTAAACTTTGGAATTTTTAAACTTTTGTTTTCTTTATTTGTTGTCTTTAACTTCAAGACCATGAAAGCCTAGATGAACTGGATAGATGAGAGAGAAACTGCCCTGCTTAGCTTGCCCCACGCAAATATAGAAACCTCAGGGACTGGAGACAAGGGGAAGACTGGTAATTCTGGCCTGTGTCTTGAACATGTCTTTCTTTTTCTTCAGGTAAACCCAATAAGATTGAGCAAAAATTATCTAGAAATCTCTCAGAATTGTTCCCATCAATGTGAGTTTCGTATAATTCTTCATGCTCGCACGAGTCGTCTAACCACCCGTGGCTCTTTGCAGATCTGTCTCTTGCTGGGTTTGACTGTGCTTTGATGTTTCAGGTTGATTACTCTGCAGATAGAATCATCATTTTGTTGAGCCTCCTTCAGACTGGAGCCTTGCAGACAACTTGTTCCACATCTGCCAGGGTCATCTGCCTCATCTGTTTTGCTCTAATCGAAGGGGCTCTCCTCACTACTGAGGTGGTTCTGGGACGTTTGCAAAAAAGACTTCACAATTCGGATGGTAGCAACATTACCGTTGGCCTGAACGGTGTCAGTTTATTGACGAGAGTATTGAATGAGGCCTGGCACTCTGGTGACCAAACAAAGAGTGGGTCTTTGGTGCCTCGCTTTCCTCCAGTTAACGCAAACAAGAGGGCTGCTATCTTGGAATAGTTCCGGACGAACCTCCTGTAGTAACCGGTGAGGCCAAAAAAATCCTCAAACATCACGCTTTGACTTGGGCATGGGCCAATTCTTGACAGCTGAAATCTTGTCCAGATCAGTAGCGATGCCATCTGCTGACACAACATGGCTGAGATATTTCACGCTGCTTCGGAGTAGGTGGCACGTTGATGGCTTTAACTTCAGATCGTGCTCACGCAACCATGAACACCTTAGATAGTTGACGTACATGCTCTTCCAACGTTGTGTTGAACACGATAATGTTGTCCAGGTAGAGCAAGACACTCAGTCAAAAGTCAAGTCGCTGAAAATTGTGGTCATCAACCTCTGAAATATGGCGAGTGCGTTTGTCAGGCCAAAGGGCATTCTCTTGAACTCATACAGTCCCATTGGTGAAAGAATGCTGTCTTTGGTTGATCCTTACTGGAAACTTAGACCTGATGATACCTTGAAGTAAGATCTAGACAAGAGAAGTATTTGGTATGACAGAGGGCATCTACTGCGTCAGTAGAACAGAGCACTTCTTCCCCAACATAACAATCTCCACGTCACTCACTGGCCCAACTAGGTCACCATTCTCTTTAATTGTCATCTCTTGGTGGTGTTGGTTCCCTCAAGGGTGTTTCTGAAGTGGAAAGAGGCGGGCTTGTAGAAAACTTACAAAAACCCACTGATCACCCTGCATCAGAGGGTCTCCCCAGTTTAATGGAGCTGAAGTTAAGACGTCGGCTGTGCTTGTCTCAGCTGTGGACATCTGCAGATGAAATGGCATAAGCTGTCACAGTTGTTGCAGGACTTTGGTTGGTCGCTGAATCTTGGTGCAGGATGGATGACTGCACCAGACTGCTGAGGTTTCCGTGGCGGCATCACCTGGGATCTTCTTTCCAACCTTTCGACACATTAGCCTAATTTATTGCATCTGATTCTCGAGAACTTGGTTCAGTGTAATGGTCTGCCTTTCCATCACCTTGGCAATATCAGCAAAGTTCACACCGGTGTCTCGTCTCTTCTGTGTGTTGTCAGGCTTGTTGGATGGAGGTGGCATCAAATTCTTGGAGATGTGTGCCCCGGTAGGGATTTGCATCATCAGCTGATAGTGCTGTCGCATTCGTTCCTCCTGTCAGTGCTTCTCCTCAGCAACATACGATCCTCAGCTCTGCCCAGAGTTCTTTAAAACTCATGTTGAGAGGCCACATGGGTGCAAGTCTCTGTCTGCATTGGTCGTCACAAAGCCCTTTCAGGAACTAGGTGGTGAGGATGCTGTCCCTGGAGTCACCAAACAGATTCTGGCAGCCTTACTGTCTCCCCTTCTCTTGATACGCCTCAAGAGCGATGGCATACTCGCTTGCTGATTCACCACCTTTCTAAACCCTCGCGTAAAATCGTGTCCTTGGTGAGAAGGTTAAGTTATCTTCCCAAACTCCTCCAAAATTCAGCAAAAGCTGCCCGCTCTGCTGTGACTTCAGAGGGACTACGGCTTTCAAGATTTAGCACATCGTGAACTCTCCCAGCTGTGTTACGCACCACCTCGTGGAACTGGACTCTTCCTTTGCTGCCCTTCACCTCTAGCAGGTAACACATGTCTCACATCCAATCTTCATCTTGAGTGCTCTTCTCACGTCCAGTGAATGTGGGGACTCCTTTCACTCGGTGTGTTGTGACAGTCCTCGATTAACCAGCCAGTGTGGGGTAAATGTCCATGGAGATGGGGTCGAAACCGATGATCTGTTGGGGTGTAAGCTGCCTGTGTGGTGGTGGCAGTGCCGTGCTTTGTTGTGTGGCGGTTGCTGAATGAGGCATTAACACCGGTGGAGTGTCTGACATTTGGAGTGTGAATCTTGATGGACTGGCTGGAGTCTCCAAATGCTTTGTTGGTTTGACCAGATTTGACTATTGACCACAGGAAAAAAAAGGATCCATTCCTATGCAAGAAAAAAAAAAGACCTGGCTAAGTTCCATAAAACAGCATCCCTACCCGGGTCTTCCACCCCCCCAAAAAAAAAGTAACAAGGAAAAATGGAACACTAATGAAAAAGACAACTCTGGGGGAAATCACTCGCACAAAATACTAACTAACTAGGGATCAATTAAGGACAAATTGCAAGGTCTTTCTAAAAAAACAATGAGACAGGACAGAAAGTGTTTGATCTCAGGAAAAAAATTCAAAAGAAAAAAAACTACTTTATTCAATAATGGAGAACCAATCTGGAAAACAAAATCTATAATCTGTAATTGACTTTTTAGCCAAATATGAACTTAAGGAAAACTACTCTTTTAGGAATTCAGCGGAAACTATACATGACCAAAAAATAAATAAAATGGAAAATTAAAGAAAAGCAACCCCCCAAAAAAAATGAATTGAAAATACCTCAGACCATAAATCTGAGACCTGGAATTTCAAATTTTAAACTTCACACAGTAGACCTTAACCTTTCAATAAAAGACTAACAATAAATCAGCATTTTTGTGTCCCTGTTACATCTGACCTTTGTTTGTTGTGAATTCATCACTCTTGCAAATTAGAAAATGTGTTTTACAAAATCATATGTCAGATGTGACAGGGACAGGAAAAAATGGACCCCTAATTTCTAGAATTACCCATTACCTTGAAAATCTTACCGATTTAACACATTAACCCAAGGTGGTTGAGAAGTTTTTATTTGACAGAAAGTGTGGCAGCTGAACTGTCAGTGCAGCCTGAAAACCTGGATAATGGATCATCAAGACAGCTCACTTCATGACGGACATGTGAGCAGGAAACCTGGAGATGATAACTTGCAGATTACTTGAGACCTGGATGCTTTCTCAGCTCCTGTTTTCTCAGTCTTGAGGTATGTTTGCCTGCTAAGCCTTTGAAGATCATTTGATTTGTTGTTCTTGATAACATCTCAGTTTCTTATGTTTTCCCCTCTCTTTTCTTTAGATGTTTAGGGGATTTGGACTGCCAAACCGGGATGTTTCTGACTGGATGATGACGAATTATCTACTCCCCATCAGGACAAAGAATATTTTGCCTCTTAATCCCATCATAGACAAAATAAAGGAGCCGGAAGCAGGGAGGAGGCCCAACCGATGAACTGATGACCCTGCTTGTTGAGCATGTCATTACTGATTCTCAAGGTGAATACTATAAATCAAACAATTAGTTTTACAATCATGTATCATCTGGTTCTAATTCTGAAATAGGACTGACAGTAGTTTGCCAAAGGCAAAACAAAATATTTATTTCTTGGGTGTGAATTAATTAGTTACTTGCTCTTTGCATTTCACATTCCTAATTACTGTTATTTGATCTTTGCATTTGATGTTCTTACAGATGACTGACAAATCACAAATAAAAAACAGATGACAAGCCAGCAGGCTGATGACAAAGCATTTTATTCTTTATGTTGATGGTTTAGAAGATGACATGACAAACATCAAATGTGGATAAGACTCACTGGATGAAGAAGAGGCTGCTTCCAATGCAGAAGGATGAATTACAATTTTTACTGTGAGTAAGCATAACAATGACTCTTTTGTTATCCACACAATGATTCCATTGGTTGATTCACTAAAACGTGGCAGATGATCAGAACCATGCTTGTCATGGTAAGGGGGTATTAATGTAAACCACCTGTCCACAGGTATTCTCCCCTCTGTTTATTTTCAGTTCAGCTAATCTCCAAATCCTAGTTTTTGATTTGTTCTTGACAAGTCTTGACTCTCTTGGATAGAGTTTAACCTAAAACCAAGACGATAGAAAATACTGTAAAAGTTTATGTAAATAAATTATGGTGGTGTGAAATTGTTGTTGATCTTCATGTATGACTTTGGTGTAAATCTAGACAGTGGGATTTAAAACTGTAGTATAATTACATTTGAAGGAAATGTTTCAGTGATATAAAAAAAAATCAGGATAAAGAGGAAGAAATCTCAAAGTTGTTTGTCAACCCCAAAGCATACTCAGTTTTGCTAGTCTGTCAACACTGTTGCTTTGTTGCAAATGAGTTGTAAGGTTAGTTTACGAGTTACGTTTCCTTTTGTCTTTTCTTTCTTTATAGATTCTGGAAGCAGTGAACTGGGATCAGTGGCAGTATCATTGGTGGTTAAGTGCTAATGCAGATTGTAAAAAAGGCAGTTTAAGTTTTAAAATGAGATGCCAACAGGGACCCATTTCTAATAAATAGAAGTCAACAATAATTCAGTTTGAAAAGATTAATTTTGCAAAAGATACTTTGAAAAGCAAGTTTCATTTTTAATAAACCTACAATATTACTGAAATTTTGAAGATTCCCATGTTTTTAGGTAGAATGAGCCATTTGTAGCTACCAAAACCAACCAAACAAAAAAGTTATTTTTAAAATCAAACTTGGTCTAAAGAAATGGTGCAAAATTCCAAATGAAGATATATAATGTAGCATGCTGTCACTTTCAGTTGTGCAACTGTTCCTTTGATCAGCTGAATTCCTCATTTTTTACTTCTCATGTTTGGCATTGCAAACTGAAACACATTGCAAAAAAATTTATGCAGTTGGGAAATTCCTTCCTTTTTATTTTCTAAAATTCTAGTCATACCTATATTTTGAATAACGTAATTTAAACAAGGTCACTTCATCTTTCGAAGGTGTTGAGAGAAGCACTTTTGGGGGGATTTTAATGAATCCCAATCTTAACCCGAGGTGCGCGCATCTTTCCAGATTGTTGTAAACACCCTAGTAATTTGTAAACAGGCTAGTAGCCAAAGAAGCACTTAATGTGTGGCTTTACAACCTATGTTTGAATTAACGTGTGTCAGGTGCACTTCAAAACATTACTTAGCAACTTCAGCCTCAACCCATTAAAGAAACCTAGAATTGCTTACGTTAACTCAAAAGACGTTGTATTTCTGGAGCAAAAATGGACTCTTCTTCAATAATTTAAGCAATTTTGTCTATTCAAATTTAGAATAACCAAAATAATAAATGATCAATTTTTCCTTAAGTTGAACAGCAAGTCCCCCTAAATTAAACTCTATCTTTATACTTCTTTTTTAAGAATGAATGAACCAAATGATTGGGTTAAAACCTTTTTTAGAGATAATAACGGTTTGTACTTATGAGAAGTTGCACCTCCATAAAGTTACACCTTTAAAATGTTTTGTTTTGACAGGGTTTGTCTTGGGAACAGTTTTTGTCTAGTGATGCATTCAGAAATTCATTTTGCATCTTAACATATTCCTATTTTTAAGATTTAATTTAAGTTTTAATGTTAAAGGTGAAAAGTAAACAAACTTTAAAAATTGAGAACAGAGACAAAAAGGAAGAATTTTTGCCTGATATCTTCTCATCTGATTGACAGAACTACTTTATGGATCATTTTAAGAATTATCTTTATTGCTAGGAAATGAGATTTGCCCACTGATGCAGTAAAATGTCAATATTTACAATAATCAGTTAAACTGTAAGATAACATAAAAATTATACTAGGTGAAATTTTTAAGGAATAGGTAAAGAAACCTCCTGCAGGTAAATAAGCCCCCTGCCTCTTTTGCGCATATAGACCTGCTTGTATCATATAATGGTGTCATGGTGATCTGTATTCAGAGATCTGTAGGCCCCTACCATTAAAATTTGAAAGAATCTTTCTTCATTAAGAGATAAAATAACATGTATAACATTCAAATTACATTGTGTCTATCCTTTTGCAAGGCTTATTGCATGAGTGGTTTCTGTTAAACAGTTTTAAGTTTTTGTTTGTGTTCTCCTTTTGAGTTCGGTGGATGTTCAGGCACTTTTTTCTTTCTGCATCTTTGATTTTGAAGAAACGTTACTTCAGCAAAAGGATAAACACACTGTATGCAGAGTGTCACTATTACTCAATACAAAATCTTGTGTGTGTCATGCGGATTAACTAATTCAGTCTTGACAAAAAATATTTTTGGCAGATGGGCTTACATTGCTAGTAGATGTCAGAACTTATTAAAGAAACATTTTTCTTATCTAGGACAAAGGGCTTCATTTTAAAGCAAAAGTCCCAAACAGTTTTATTTTTTCTCCTCATAGAAAGGTATTGTTTCTCAAATAACTCATACCCCACTTTTGGGCCTTTCAAAGTTTCACCTATATATTAGAAATTTTTACTATTCCTCAAAAACTGAATAAATCATGAGCTTTAATGATTATCTTGTTCTAATTGACACAACTGTTCGTCCTCATCAACTATTATTAAGATGCGTGGATATTAAAAAAATTTACAGTATAAACAATTGTGAAAATAAAGATAAGAAATACTTTGAATTTACTTTTACTTCCACTCATCCAATAATTTCTGTGTAACAAGGTTTTAAATAGTTCGTCTCACACTTTGGTTTCGCTGGTTCCAGCCATTTTGAAGCAGTGTTGGAAACTACATCTTCAAGCCCTGATTGAAATCAGCAAAACCGAAGTCTAATCCGAATCCACTTGTTTCAAAAACGCTCTAAGTCTAAGCGTCCAAAGAAATGGAACATTGCTGTGTTAAAGTCTGGCAGTAAGGCACATAAATACCTCAAGACAGTTTTTGTTATAACTGTGGGATATATTGGGGACGATATAATTGAAATAGAGGAAAATTATTTGAATAAAAAAAACACATTCAGAGGGGTGAGGGCAAAATTGAAAGTAACTACAGATTTCTGTGCATGATAAAATATCTTTTGACTTATCTTTGTCAAATACCCCCAAAATAAAAGGTATGAATATCCCGCCTCCTCCACATCCTTGCAGCAGTGGCCTTGGTTGAACCCCTTTCTCCAGTTTGACAATAATTATCTGCCGATGAGGGCAGTATGCAAAGTTAACAGTGTACGACACACTTGCAGCTCATTACCCATCCCCGGCCCCGGCCCCACGATTGCGTCCCAACTTTCCATTATCTGACGGTGGGGGCAGTAAGCAGTTTTTATGGCGCACCAAATGGGAAATTGGAAGACGTCTTTCAGTTTTTTTCAGACCCCCTCCTATATCCTTTCCGTTCCATTTCTCAGACCGGCCGCACCCCTCGATAAAGTCTGACAGATACAGATGAGGGCGGTATGTATCGTTACCTCCTTCCCTCCATGGCAGCGTTGCCTTAAAAGTTTTTAGCGGCTTCAAGATTGACCGCTACCTAACGATGGGGGCAGTATGCCAAGATAATGGGACCGGTTCTGCAACCGTAGACTGGTTTCCGCCCCAACCGTAGACTGGTTTCCGCCCCTCCCCACATACAGACTTTTGTGTAATTAGTCGGGTCTCTCATGAACTTTCACAACTGCGCGTGTGGACTTAATAGGGAAACCAAATGTTTCAGAAAATATCACAACCCGTTTTTCTTCTTTTTTTTTTCTAAAACCATTTTTGTTTTTGACGACAAATTCAAGGAAAGTTCAGATTTTCCAGTTATGCTTACCGTCTGAAGTTTTTGGAACTTTGTTCTAAATTTTTTTAAATAAAGTAGGCCTTGAGAATGACGACCGGGGCGCTCTCTGAAAACCGTGAGAATTCGTCCAAAGGATAAACAGCCTCTAATATGGTGAGTTGCGGGTTCGGAAAAAGGCAGTCATGGCTAAAAACGAAGGGCGAAAATGAAGTTAAGAAACTTTGATTTATCCATGGAGGTAGAAAAAGGAAAAAAACAGCCCGTGCAATCACAGGTTGAGCGCCCCCTTCGAATTTCACAGTTGGACAATAATAAGACGAGAACACGTGGTGTACATGTGGTACGCCATTCATCAATTCGCGGGCTGCCAGTGACTGCATAACGGAATGTTGGAGGTAAGTTTGCTGTTTTCTTTCTAAAAATCCACCCTTTTTGCATCTAATTAGTAACAAGAGGCTTGCTAGATAAATTGTGGTTACCTATGGAACAAATTTTTGAGACTTTGCCCGAAAGGTTTAGAGAAATTGAAGGCTCAAATGGCTGCTTCTGAATACCGCGATTGACATAGTAACGGTTTATTTATTTTTCTCTAGTGTCACACAATTTGAATGTAGTAATTAATTAAAAAATACAAAGAGATACACTAACAAAGAAACTGCACATATGGAAACGTTGGTCATATCTGCTCAAACACTGCATCGCATCTAGGTCAGATCAGCCGTTTCCCTGGAAATTTACGTATTTCTACAAGATTTAGCAGTGCCATGGCTGGCATGAAGATTTAGCTTTAAAAACTGTTCACCAAAACAAACCCAACAAACTGATTTCACTTTTGACTATGTCAGAAAATGCCCTTTTCTGCAGTAAAACTGACAGTATTTTGTGTGAGGACATGAAGAAAATGACACATTTCAATGCACCCCTTCATCATTCCAAGCCATTGGTTGTTTCCTTGTGGCTTAGTGGTCTTGTTCTAAACAGTTTACGAATGGTAGCTAATAAACTTTAGTTTGATACTAGCCCAAGGTGGACGTTGTCTTCATTTACACTACGACTGACATCCAGGGTATAAAAGTCCTCCAACAATGCGAAATTTTGTTCGTTTTTTTCTCACATTTTTACCTGGCGAAGATAGCTCAAATGTCTTCACATAGAAATCAATGAAATTGATCATTTGAAAAGCCCATTTTGTAAAACGAAAATCTTCTTGAGATAACCGAGGGAGTAGGCTTCCCAGGATAGAATATCATTACTGTGACAAGACAGTATGAATTGAAATTGTTGAACCGAGCACTGTTGGGGTTAAAGTGCTCAAGTCAACAATGTCGATATGATTTTACATACATGTGTATCTAAGGGGGTTAGGGTTAATATATAAGAGTGAAACTGCAGGAGAGATAAATGTTTGATTCTGTCATTCCGTCATTTTCCTCTTTTATCTTTGTTTATCGGCAAGTAACTCAAATTTTTTTACAATTACATTAACATGTACTTTCAAACCCAATTTGTTGAATTGTTCAGCCATGCAGTATTTGTGGTAATCTACTCTTAGGACCCTGGCTGTAGATAACATCTGAGAACTCCGCTGTCAAAACTGGCAATATTTTACATTTTTATCTCTTTGTTCCTAACAAAATTATGAAGAAAACACTGCCCTGTTAGCAAACAAAACTACAGAGGTTGAAAAGATATTGATGGACCGATAGACATTCTAAAACATAAAAGTGAAAAAGAAAGGAGTGGAGGAACAAAACAGACCCTCCTTTAGGTAAGGAATGCCCATTTTGTCATATACTCTGTACTCAGTTCTCTGCAAAATAAGCACTTCATCAGCTCTTTCAAAAATTCTGCCATCTTCTTCATGTTAAGTGGGTATTATTATTATGCCCAAAAGTATCTCTTGCTTGTGTTTCAGCAGGTTGAAAGGAAGCCACACACGCATGTTTTCTGGAGTGTGAGGACTGATATTGCATATGTGGACTTGCACAGGGCTCCCATCCCCTCTCGTAGCAGTCCTTGGAGCTGATCAAAGGAATGAATGAGAGGACTACTTTCTGATAACGTAATGCATGTTAAACTGTTCTCGGAAATGAGCATTTTCCTAAAAAGTACACAAGCTTGAAGTGAAATCTTTTATGTTTTCATTCAATCAAGAAAAAATTGGATTCCACTGGCAATCATGCATTGACAATGTAGTTTGCATTTGCTCACAGCCCTACATTTACTTTAGACATATTGAGTACATCTTATTCTGTTTGCTTTTTGGAGAAACTGTTTACCTTGAGTTAAAAAGCTATTCCCTTGAAAGACAAGGTGTTTGATTTGTGTGTACATAAAACTAATAGTATAAAGCTCACTCAACCTCATCTTGGGGTATATATTAGTTTATTCTTTGCAAAGTTTTGGCCATTTGAACCAAAGAGCCTCATTACATACATCTGTTTGTTAATCCTTCCATTTAACCTCACTTAAAACCTCTCAAACTACACTTTTCTCCTTCTTGTCTCCTGTCAAAGAATAATGATCAGCAGGATGTGACAAGACAAGACAGGAACAAGCAAGATTGGCTTACATGATAGGTAAAGTGATAACCCGATTGTTTTCAACCATGAGTGCTCAAATTGAGCTTGTGAGCACAAGACTTGGGAACTCAAGAACCAAGAATGAGATTTTCAAGTAGGGCTTTAAACAATACTCAGTTGTCGATGAACTGTTCTTTGGGTATTGGATATTCTTGCTGTGTCAAATCTTAGTCTGGTTCTGCACCAGTTTACAATTTCGGACTTTCTTGTTTAAAAAAATCCTCAAGAGCTACGAATCAGAAAAAGAAAATGTTGGGATTAAAACTAAAAATGATAAAAAGGACAAATTCTGAAATTTTTGGGACAAAAAAGGAATCCAGCTCTGAGCATATCATGTGATCTCAAGATGTGTGTGCTGCTATCCACTAGGCCACCGAACCTACTTGGAATTTAGTGGGAAATTAATAACCTTCAAGGCTTACTCATGTATATGCATCAAAGACTTATTCGTGTATATGCCTCAAAGAGGGCACTGTCTACTTGTAGCCAGCTAAATACCATTTAGTTAAATTTGCCAACGATGGCTAAATAACAGCATTTTTAGTCAGAATCACAAATAAACATTTTTGTGACAATCACAAATAGTTTAAGGAGTTTGACAGGATCGTTAAGGAGCATGGGCCCTGGCACCAGCCCATAGTTGTGGAATGATAATAAAGGTGGAGTAGGTTATGTCGCACTCTAAAGGAGCCTGCCTGGGCAAATGCTGCTACTTGTTGCATCCATTCAATGGTGGAGGGTGGCACGTGTATATGGTAAAGCACTCTTCTAGCAGAGGGTGGACAGGACAGTGGTCATTGGTACATTCAGCCTGGGTTCCCTTGTCATACCGAAGAGCTTGACCATCCAGAGATGTGCTGGAGCTGGTATCGGAGGACCTTTACACAGTGGCCCCATTTCACTGACTTTAAATAAAGCAGTATATTCTCAACTTTCTGACAATGAGTCGAACGTCACACCTTATGTGTTCTATCATCCATCCAAAAAATTCAAGCAAGTTAAAGATACAGACATTGATGTTTGTTAAATCAGTTTTTGTAACAAAGGCTTGGACTTGGAAACTTTGTGCTACATTTGATACTTGCAATTTTCTAAAGTTTGTAAGTCATGAACAAGCTTTTCAAATGATTAATATGACTGTGAACACTTATTCCCTATGCCAAGTAACTTTTTAAAGTGTAGCAGCAATGAATTCGCCCTGATTTTCAGTAATTTTATACTTATCTCCAATGTATGAACCTTATTTGACATCCATTTTGTTTAACGTATTGAAAAGTGCAATTTTTAAAACCTTAAACTTTGCCCATGCTTTCCCGGACAACTGAGGCTGTTGCTATGATGTCATCTAGGGAAGACATGTTTCAGTGTTCAGGTTTTCTGTTCAAATTGTGAACCCAAAATTACTCAAATAAACACATTTCTGAGAAAGGATTGCAAGCATGCTTATTGATATGTACTATGTACTGTAACAATGGATGTCTCAGGAAAAAAACTTCAGGCCTGCAAAATCTGAAAAAGTTTGAGAGTTTGTGTACATACCAATGCAATATTGAGGTTCACGTCTTGGGATGATGCCACAGTTTTGCTCATGAATATGGAATACTCATTAGCATAAAAATCAACCTCATTCTGGAGGATTGTATTTAAAGAATTGCATTGCAGCCGTTCCACACATTTTTTTCTATTTTTTGTGACATTTGACTAAAATTCACCAAAACGTTTACAAACAATCCATTTGAAGCACAAGTCAGCATCTCGCTCTTGCATGATTAAACACTCCCCCCCCCCGGTAAAACAAAAGGGAGTCCACCTGCCAACCCCCCCCTGCTTCCACCACCAGTGCCCTTACCCACAAAAAAGTAACTTGCTTTGCTCAATAGGTATACATTAATTTTCAGTTTAATTTCAGCAAATGAAGACCCACTTGAAAGCATCATATCACATTGTACAACGTTTATTGGAGAAAAGGAGTGTATTTCTTGAGGTAAGTTTTTTGTTAACTTCAAATAAAGCTGGCAATAACAGCTGAGAGTTCAGTGGTGCCTAAAGGTTTATTTCATTTCAAGAAACTGTTTATTCCTTGCTCTTTTAAAACATTACATTAATTGAAAGAAGTTGGTACATAAAAATTGACAAAATAAATAAGCTGAAGAAAAGACATCAGAAATTAAGAAACTAAGTACATTGAAATTAGCAATGGGGATGAGAGTAACTTTTATAGATACTTGTGCTTAATGAGAAGAGAACATTAGAGCTGATGATAAGATAAGGAAACCAGTCCATGTGCAAATGAGAAAAGGAAAGAGCATGGGGCTGTGAAATAAGCAGAGGCTTGTATAAACAGCCCTTAAAACAGAAGACATAAGAACAACACGAACAACTACGGGACAGAAAACAAAAACAACACGACGTACAAAACATAAAGACAAGACAAAAACTGACAACAAAAAATTATCGGTACAAATTTGTATGATGACGACTAAAGGTTATAAGATAAGAGGAGATATTAACCGTAAATACAGAAGAAGATTAAAGCTATGTCGCATAATCCAGGAAAGTGTATCTTATGAAGTGTAAGGTAAAATGTTGAACATTTACAAAAGTGACGCCACCAAATTTGCCAGAGCTACTTTACACACTGGATTTCAGGACTAACTCTGTTTGTCAAATGAAACATGAGATTCATTGTTTGATTATAGTTCTGATCATAATTTGATTACATTTAGTGCAGCCTTTGTGGCCAAAGGATTTCAGAAAAAGCTCATTTTCAAATGCTTTTATGTAGGTGGCCCCTGATGCATGGAGGAGTGACTGAAAGGAACACTTACAAGCCTCCATCTTATGGATGTTGGTACCAATTCCTCTGTCTTGCCAAAGGTGAGCGACCCATCAGCAATCTGCATTATGATGCCACGATCTAAATGTGTCAGAAGAATCTTTGATTTTGAGTAGTAAATTGACCAGTATCTCATATTTCAGTGAGTTCTTTGAGGTTACCAAAAAGCCCCCCCCCTTTATATTTCCCTCACAAAAAAGTTGGGACCTCATTCAACCATTCTTGATTTAACCATTCTGAAAAGAGCCAGCCAATTCAGAAACAGTTGGTTTGGAGGTGCACAAACTGAAGTCTTAAGTTTTTCTTGATCTTTCCACAAGAGTGACGCTGGTGTGGACAGTGCTTGGCAGGTACCCTCAGGAGCACTGATTGGCAGGAG